TGATTAAAAAAAAAAAAAAATAATGAAGGAGTTTAAGATACTTAATATACGTCACCCTCTTTTTTGTGACGCATACTCGTTCATAATCTATTACATGAAAATGATTTGAATTTTGGTAAGATACAACACTCGCGTGTAGCTCATTTAATATGACAGACTAGACAGCTCGAGCTCATTTCGCCAGGCCGTACATATTGGAGCTCAGTGACGTCACATGCATGCATGCAGGCAATATCACGGTCGACATATAGCGGCGGTCGGATTGCTTCATTGAGTTACAGGTCTCTAATTGCATCTTTGCAAAGAAAGAAAACAGTTCGAATGTAGCACATTTTTCAAATAAGAGCGACAGAATAACACCATAACATTTATAAACATGTGCGTATGAGACGTTAGAGACGACTAAATTCAGTTGTTTTCGCATTCTCGCATTCAGTTTTATAATAACCAGGTAATTCACAATTTCAACAGATAAAATACTGTGACTGAAATAATAATAATAATGAAAAGGTTATGAAGTCAATTATTTTAATTACCATTATTTTTTTTTTAAACATCAGTAAAGCTTGTAGTGTATGACTGGTGCAATTGTTACGTTTGTGCTTTGGATTAGTAGTTGCCAACTGAATGACACGAATCTCAAAATATAATTGCATCACACATAGGGGATGAACAGTAGAAGACAATAATTGAGTTCTACATGTACGTGACAGAAGATTCAAGTATACCATAAACGGCCTGTATTGGCTTCTACTTTTTTGCCTTTTCAAAATGCACACTATATTCAAGTTACATTGCTATATCAAACTAACTGCACTTGCTATAGGCTTAGGACTTATTCACCCACGAAACGGACACGATTGCGTTGCGTCATTAGTTAGTCCCCAGTTAATGACTGCACATATTAAGCAGTGCATTGTGTTCCCTGGTAGTCAAAAATATAATAATAATAATGAACATGAAGTTATCCAAAGCACCTTCACGTGTCGCCGCTGAGCGATATTTGTCTCTCGATTTTTATTTCTTTGTTTATCTCCTCCCTGGAAGAAGATTTGACTACATATTTATTTTATCTGACACATATTGTTATCGCGGTGTCGTCGGCAGAACACAGTAAAAAGATTCATTTGCTTTGGTCACATGAAATATATGACGTTCTGTCGAAAAAAAACTAGCGTGGTCTCTGTACTTCAATTATACTTTTCGTTTAGCGAAATAATTAATATATGTATTTTATGGAATTTAGTACAATGTTTTTTCCTGGTGAAATGAGAATATTATTAGCTAATTTGTCGGAATTGTCGTTGTAAGGTGAGTGGGTGTTGTTGTGCGGGATATCTCCCTGTGGGTACCCATGCTGCTCCTGGGGATATCCACTATGCTGTGTATCACCTGTCATATGGCATATCTATCCTGAGATGTGCCACCTGACCTTACCTCTTGGTATTCAGTCTGACTCTGAGGGGTTTTAGCATTGTACGCTGGTGGATATCCACGGTTATGCAGTTGTGCCATCTTCTGCAAAAAAAACATAGGAAAGGTTTACTTCTGTACGATTACCATTTGTGTGCAATTATTTACCAATATCTAATAGAAAAACAGAAAGGTAGAAAAATTGTTTTTTACTTTATGTATATAAAAATTTTGTTTTGTATAATTATGTGTGCATTTAGGAAGGGGAAATAACATGTATCAACAATTATTAACAGCAGAGACCATGGCGTTTTCCAGTATGCCATACTGATTATACATTTATTTTTAAAGGTGAAACAATCATTCGTTTGTGTTTTGTTTTACGACTATGATCATGAATATATAATCGCTACATGATACAGATAATGATGCATACTAGGTTGTACAAGTAAGATGTTTCAGGGGTTGTTTGCTGGCTGCGAGGGGATGAGTGATTTGTAAACAATGAATACAGTGTTAACCAATTCTGTCATCTTTAATCGAGAAATTGTTAGATAATTGGAAGATAAGGTTTTCTTCATGTTTTTTATGCCACAAAGAATAAACCATGATCATAAATATAACGTGTATTGTAGACATAAAAAGAAAATCTACAAATATTCTTATGCCTCTAACAGAATGCAGTGTAAGACACTGTATTTAATGTATGTAATTCTTTTTCTATGCCACTTACAAAACACATCTAACACGTTGCTCTAAATTGTAATGAAAACGTATAAAAAGCTAACTTACAGGTAAAACTGGATCCAGATGGTGTTACTCCTCTATTGGTCTGGTAGATTGTGATATGGATGCCTAGATTGCGGGGTTGTATCGTTTCTATAATTTTGTTTTACGTACCAGTAGAAATCACAAGAAAATTTAAATAGTAAAGCACAGAAAATACCTGGATATGTTTAACATTTTTTTTAATAGTTGAAAGTTCATAGTGTGAAAAAATGTGCAATTTTTAAATTCTCTGACAAAAAACCTGGCAGGCACATGATTTGAGTAGATTCTGATAGATTATTAAGATGTGAACAAACTGCAATGTTTGATGTTTTCTGAGATGTCTACATATAATGAGAATTCAACTCAATGCATACATTATGGGTGAAAACAAAAACATCAATTTTTCTCTTTCCAATTTTATTTGTAAAGAACTGCATAAGATCGACACAACTTGCATATGATATGACCATTTCATCTTTCCAAAATATATCTAAACATTGCATGTATCTGTATATGAAAAAAACAAAATGTTTTCTGAAAAATGTTCTATTCATATACTGTAATTCCAGTTGATATGTCGTAATTAGCTTTATAATTTTGTATATGTTTCCATTGACACTCTCTTAACTTGGCTTTTCTGTAAATTAATAAATTATTCATTCAGATACATGTATCTTAGTCAGTGATAAATATCATTTCCTAATATCCTCATATGCAGAATTCTACGTATAACTTAAATATTGCCATTTATGAATTCATTTGCAAATTGAGTAAAATTAAATTAAAAAAATAATTGATATTTTTTTTTAGACTTGGTTGACTGTGTTCAATTAATACCCCTTCAGTAAATATTCCTACAAACTAACATGAGTGTATGTTATGATGTATGTAACAAAAACAAACGAAAATGGTACCTGCATATCAGAGATATAATATGCTGGCCAGAAAGCATGATTACCGACAATGGATCATATTTGATATGCTAATGAAATGATTCATGTATATACAAAATATGGACAAAACTATGTACAATATATCACATTTTCAACAACAACTAAGATGGCCGCCAGATGACTTTCTTCATCAAATCACAAAATGTATCCATTTATGATACATGTGCTAAATATAAATGACAGAGATTCCAGTCGGCCAATATTGATCTGATCATGAAACAAACATATACATGTTTCCAGACAAGCTGTATGTGACAATCACAGAGATAAATGGTCAAAAAGTCTTGCTAAAAAGATGGCCACCAGTCAGCCTTCTTTTATCCAAAACAAATTGATCTGATTAGATAATGAAACATATATTGTCATAGACATGATTTCAACATGTATGCGTGTGTGCCAAACTGTTTGTAAATCTCTGAGATTTAGTAGTAGTATCAGTCAGCCATCTTAGATCCAATCCCGGGATCCTATTATGAAGCAATTTGAAGAACTTGAAGAACATATATGATAACATGTATAATACATTGCTAAACTTGAATGAAAACTGACAAAGCATGTTCATAACAGTGCATTAAAAAAAGATGGCTACCGGTCGGCCATTTTGGATCAAATGGCAAACCACATTTTGTGCATATTCTCCACATACAGGCACATGCAAAGAATGATAATGCCACGATAACTAAGAATCATCAATCGAGACATATTTTCAGAGTGTCTTCAACACAACCAACCATCAATAGACTTTAAACTCAACTCTTTGTTGAATGTTTTTGTATACAAAATATTTATAAATGTGAAATGACTGTTGAAAACAACTTAACCAATGGACACATGGCAGTAAATAAGCCAATGATTAAACGTAGTGGTTAAAGGAATCATGGGTAATAGGAGTTATCAAGCTTATTCCTTGGTTCAGAATAAAGCACTATGTGTGAATATTTTATAAATATTTTATAAAATTCAAAAATTGAAATTTACTGTATCAACCAACATTATTTATCACAGTATGCAAATTATCTTCACAATTTGAATAATTTTTGCTTATAATGAATATTTAATAACAATTAATTTCTAACAGATTTAATCTGCTAAAAGAATACAAGATCACTAAAAAAATGTTTTTCAATTCCTTCTATTTTGTGGTATATATGCCCTCATTCCATACTTTATACCAGGACTTCATATTGGTAAAACCAGTAGTAAAATCTAGTACACAATAGTTCATGTTATGTAGAAATTTTATTGCAGATATGAAAATTAAATACAAATATTACAGTGCATATAATAGAGCTTTGGTAAAAAAAAGATTGTCAGCCTCATCACAGTGACTATTCAAGTACATAATCTGTATTTATGGAGAGAGATTTAAAACTGGGACCAGTACTGAGGAAATGGGAAGGTGGATTCTACAGAAAATTTCACAGAAAAGAAACATTCATTCATTTATTTATTTATAAAAAAAACATGTCCTATATCATCGAAAAAACTCAAAACTAAGTGAAAAATACAATTTTCACAGTAGTTTCTAATGAATCTCAGTAGAAAAACGACAACCAGCAACTTTAGCAATGACTTTTTTTTTTAACTGTAAATAAAAATGATATACATGAAATGTTCAGCCCAAAATATTATTCTAATTCCCAGTCTCTGTCATTTCGAACATCTCACATTGATAAGGTACTTGTAATACACACCATTAACCATTTCAGCACCATAATTGTTCCCTCCAAAAAAACAACATTTTGCCCATTTTTAAGTATTTTCTTAAAAAGTGATCATTTTGGACCAAATGAACATGATTTTTTATCAGCAACAAGTCTTGTTCAAAATTTTAGAAAAAATCTGTCAAAAAATGATAGTAAGGGCTAGTCAAACTGGTACTTATCAATCCAATCTGAATATTTCAGTCTCATCATATTTATAAATCAGTAAAATAGTTAATTGTGTAAATGTAAATATGTATCCAACTGTAAATTAATATCTTACTAAAATCAAAAACTATTTTACAATAATTTGACTCATACATGCTAATTATAATATCGTAGTATGAATATTTTGTTTACATATATTAGGCATGTATCAAATAGAAAAAATATTTTATTTTTAATGGCACAATTCAAAAAAAATATAGAAAATCTATCAACTGTATAAACATTTCATCCGTGTTCTCATCATGTATTGACAATGTTCTTGTGTTTTATTTATATTTATATGTTGGGGGATATTGTTGTTGAACAACCACAGTTGTCTGTGTAGCTCCTACACCGGCAGATGGGTATGCACTTGCCTGAAATAAAGTAAACAATGTAATGTAGATATATTGTGCATACTGTCCTCTACAGTTCAATTTCAAATATTATGTTTTTATGGTGACAATCTTTAAATATTATGTTTTTATGGTGACAATCTTTAAATATTGTCACTAATCCCTACACAAATAATTTGCTGATTTAATAAACAATACCAGAAATATGAATTGAATATCAATTGAGAACTAGAATAGATATTATACCAT